CATGGTATAAAAATTGGTTGAACCATTTTTGGAAAACTATTTGGCAGTATCTAATAAAGCCAAACATGCATATAATCTTGACCCAGCAGTTCCACTCCTGATTATATAATAAGTGTTTATGTCCACCAAAAAGCATGCACAAGAATGGTCATAGCCATTCATCATAGCCAAGAAGTAGAAATAACTCAAATATGCATCAACAGTAGAATGGATAAATAAATCATGGTATAAGCATTAAGACTATTACAAAACAATGAAAAAGAATAAGCTACTGCTACCTGCAACAACATAGACAATCTTAGGCATGATGCTAAGTAAAAGAAGCCAAATACAAGATTTAGTACTGCAACATTCAATTTGTATGAAGTTCACAGACCAAACTAATGTGATAAACATTCATCTCTGGAGAGTAGATATTTACTGGGAGGGGGTCAAAGGTAACTTTTTGGAGTGCTATACATGTTCTTAATTGGAGTAGTAGATATATATATATATGGATATAGATAGATATGGATATATACGTACATATATATACACACACACATACATATATATGTATATATATGCATATATATAATTTATTAAGCTGCTCAGTTAGAATTTATGCATTTTGCTGAATGTAAATTACATCTCAAAAAGGCAAAGAAAAAGCAATTTCCTCTGAACAGTCTTATTGGTACATGAGAGAGATTAGACAGGAAGTTGTTGGCTTTCGTTATAAGTCTTTAGATTTTTGATTTTAAGATGTATATGCTCATGTGTTAACTAGATATAAAATAATTTGCCAAAAACAGAAAATAAATATGTATTTCATAATTTGGTTTGTAAAAAATCTAATTTTTTATTTATTAAAAGATTTTTATTGTATTATTTTTTTTTAATTTTCATGCCAGTAGAGTTAACATACAGTGTTCTATTAGTTTCAGGTGTACAATATAGTGATTCAACACTTCCATACATCACCCGATGCCCATCATAAGTATACTCCTTAATCCCCATCACCTGTTTCACCCATCCCCTCACCTACCTCCCCTCTGGCAACCACCAGTTTGTTCAGTTTGTTCTCCATAGTTGAGTCTGTTTCTTGGGTTGTCTGGTTGTTGTTTTTTTTTCCTTTGCTCATTTGTTTTGTTTCTTAAATTCCATGAGTGAAATCATATGATATTTGTCTTTCTCTGACGGACTTATTCAGCTTAGCATTATACTTTCTAACTCCAATCTATGTCATTTTAAATGGCAAGATTTCACTCTTTCTTATGGCTGAATACTATTCCATCTTCTTTATCTATTTATCAGTTGATGGATACTTGGACTATTTCCATAATTTGACTATTGTAAATAATGCTGTTATAAACACAGGGGTGCATTTATCCCTGTGAATTAGCATTTTTGTATCTTTTGAGTAAATATTCAGTAGTACAATTACTGGATCATGGGATAGTTCTATTTCTAACTTTTTGAGGAACCTCTATACTGTTTTCCACAGTGGCTGCACCAGTTTGCATTGTCACTAGTGCACAAGGATTCCTTTTCCTTCACATCCTCACCAACATTTGTTATTTCTTGTGTTTTTTAGTTTAGCCATTCTGACAAGTGTGAGGGGATATCTCATTGTGGGTTTTTTCCCTTCTTACAATGAAAATTTTTAATACACATTTTTTTTCCAGAAATTTGACTAAAAGAAAATGCATAGCCATGGAAAAATTAAGGCAGTTAATCAACAAAGTTGATTATAAATACACATATATGTACATATATGTAAACTTTAGACCCTTTATAAGAAAAAATTTCACAAGTTCAAAAAAATTCCAAAAACAAATCTCTCCTTGATTACAAATGAAACTTTAACACACTTTTTTGAGAAATTTTTATCATACATTCTATAATTATAATCCAATAAAATTAGAAATAAATAATAAATGTTTACCTTAAAACCTTAATTGCTTGGAAATGAAGGAATATATCTTAGATAATTCTTAGCTCAAGGAATAAAAGCTTAATTACCAACTATCCAGAAATAAGTTAAAAATTGCAAAACCTAGGGAACACTGCAAAAATCCTCAAGGGAATATACATAGCCTTAAATGTCCCTGTAGTTAAAAGTATAAAGAAAGGAACTTAATATCCATCTCAAGGCATTTTTTTCAATGTTTATTTATTATTTCTGGGGGGGGGGGAGGAGAAGAAAGTGCTAGAGCATGAGTGGGGAAGGGGCAGAGAAAGAGGGAGACGGAATCTGAAGCAGGCTCCAGGCTCCAAGCTGTTAGCACAGAGTCCTACACAGGGGTCAAACTCACAAGATCATGACCTGAGCTGAAGTAGGTCGCTTAACCGACTGAGCCACACAGGTGCCCCATCAAGGCATTTTTAAAAACAGACATAAAATCAAAAGAAAATAGGTGAAGGGAATGCTTAAAGCTAAAATTGGAATTAATGAAATGGAAAAAAAAGAATTAAAAATAGGATAAATAAGTCCAAAACCTGATTTTTAAAAAGTACAATAAAATAAGTAAGTCCTTTAGAAGCTTGATTAATACCTTCCTGATGGAATACTCAATATGTGTTGTTTTTTTAAGATTTAAGTAATATGGGGCACCTGGGTGCCTTAGTTGGTTGGGCATCCAACTTTGGCTCAGGTCATGATCTTGTGGTCCCTTCTAGCCCCACATGGAGCTCTCTGCTGTCAGTGCAGTGCCCACTTTAGATCCTCTGTCTCCCTCTCTCTCTACCCCTGCCCTGCTTGCTCATGCATGCACACATGCTCTTTCTCTCTCTCTCAAAAATAAATAAACAAAAAAGAGAAAGAGGACACCTTCCTTACCTCACCTTGACCTAGTGGGGTCACTATAAATATGTATCAAAAAATTCTTTTAAAAAATAAAAATAAAGATTAAATAATACAAATTTGGAAGAAAAATTTGAAGACTTTATGTATAACTTAGGCTTTGGAGAGAAATTTTTAGCCAAGATGGGAAACCCAAAATATATTAAAGGAAAGAGAGACATATTTAGCTATATATACATTAATATATATCGCTTAGAAAAATATAGCATCAACAAAGTTTATAGGAAAATTATAGATAATAAAAAATATTTGAAACACACATGATAAATAACAAGTTAATGTCTATTACACAAAGAAGTTCTAAATTGGTAACAAGAAAATATCCCAATAGAAAAATTATAAGAATATTAAAATGCAATTCACAAAGGAGCACATCTAATTGACTGGTAAACACTAAAAATGTGCTAAACATCCCTAGTAGTAAGGAAAATGCAAATTAAAAAAAAAACAATTAGCTATACTATTTTACATCCATCAGATTTAAACTTTAATAGTGTTAGCCTCAAATGTTGGTAAGAATGACAGGATAAAGTTATACACATTGCTGATGGAAATGTAAAAAGTTGCAACCTTTTTGGAAAGAAATATGGCAACAGATTTTAAATTAAAAAATGCATATACCCCTTTGGTCTAGCAATTCTACTTTTCAAAGTCTACTCTGTAGAACTAAAAGAAAGCATTAGTATGTAACAATATATATATGTAGGCATATTAAAGCATATTACTTAATATTAAAAAACAGAAGTCAATGTTCTTTGATATGGGTATGTTGAATATATTTTTAAAGAGAAAGCCTCGGGGCACCTGGGTGGCGCAGTCGGTTAAGCGTCCGACTTCAGCCAGGTCACGATCTCGCGGTCGGTGAGTTCGAGCCCCGCGTCAGGCTCTGGGCTGATGGCTCAGAGCCTGGAGCCTGTTTCCGATTCTGTGTCTCCCTCTCTCTCTGCCCCTCCCCCGTTCGTGCTCTGTCTCTCTCTGTCCCAAAAATAAATAAATGTTGAAAAAAAAAAAAAAAAAGAGAAAGCCTCTTATTATGGAAAGTTTTAACATACATAAAGGTAGAGGGCATAATATAGTGAATTCCTACAAATTCATCAAATCATATTAAAAAATTATCAACTTTTTCCCCCCAATTTTATTTTATGTATCTATCCCTTTGTTTTTTTTCTTTGGAATATCAAAACATATTTCACCCATAAATACTTCAAATAAGAATTCTTTTTAGAAAAGTAACTACCACAATATCATTATACCTAGGAAAATTAATAGTAAATATTTAATATCCAATATCCACTTGGTGTTCAAATATTCTTTGATTCAAAAATGCTCTTTTACAATTGATTTATTTGAATAAGAATCCAAATAAGATCCGCACATTGGTGGATACTTTGTTGGTATATTTCTCAAGTTTCTTTTATTCCATCCCTCTTGTTTCTTCAGGCAATGTATTTGTTGAAGAAACTTGGTTTTTCTGTAGCATTTTCTTTTTGTTGTTGTTGTTGTTTCAAGTTTTTATTTAAATTCTATTTAGTTAACATACAGTGTTAGTTAGCTAGTTAGTTAGTTTCAAGTCACTGTGATTTTTATTTGAATTTCCCTAACGATGAGTGATGTTGAGCATCTTTTCATGTGTCGTTGGCTATCTGGATGTCTTCTTTGGAGAAATATCTGTTCATGTCTTCTGCCCATTTCTAAATCATTTTTTTGGGTGAGTTCAAAAATCTACTAATTTGGGGCGCCTGGGTGGCGCAGTCGGTTAAGCGTCCGACTTCAGCCAGGTCACGATCTTGCGGTCCGTGAGTTCGAGCCCCGCATCGGGCTCTGGGCTGATGGCTCAGAGCCTGGAGCCTGTTTCCGATTCTGTGTCTCCCTCTCTCTCTGCCCCTCCCCCATTCATGCTCTGTCTCTCTCTGTCCCAAAAATAAATAAACGTTGAAAAAAAAAATTAAAAAAAAAAAAATCTACTAATTAAACAAATTTCCCAGAAAGCTCAAGAAGATATCAGTAGCAGTGACAGGAATATTCCTGGAGACTTCAAGAGTTAGAAGGTACTCAGGGTATTTCTTACCTGACCACTTCAATTAAGCCACTATGAACAACTTCATTCAAATACATGTTCTCAAACATCTGAACTTGCAGGAAATATGGATCCTACCTGTTCTGTAGCTTCATGAGGCCAAGTTGATGTTTCTCTTTTTCCCATGCTAATTCTTTTTCCACTTGTTGAATCTTATGAGCTGTTTTTCTGCCAATCTCAGCACGAATTTTGGAATCTAGATCAAAATCCTGCAAATAAGTAGATTTATTCATCGAAATGGGTACTTTCATCAATGTGCATTATCAATCCTATTTCATACACAGATACAGAATCAGTTTTGCACTCAATTTCATGTTGCATTATAATTTGCTCCCAGACATCATTAATTCTCTCTGTTCTAGAAAAAGAAAAGAACATACTTTTCATCTTACTTCCACAAAATATGGAGAAAAGTTCTCAGAAATCATTGACAATACTGTAAATAAAGTTGTATCTTAAAAGATTTTTCCCACAGTAAAAGCAGTGAATGATAACAGAATATTTGGAGAGTATACAGAGTTTTTAAAAAAAAACTTCCACCACCCCAAAGCCACTACTGGTATATAACCAGCAGGGCACAGGGTAGAAGTTCATGGCACCCCTTCCCATGTGACCCCACCCAGGAAAGACAGCTAAGTCTTTGGTGTCTTCTTGAGGTCACCAAATTCTAGCTGAATGTCTGTCACCGGGGGAGCCATTCCTCCCATAAAGATACTTATGGGAGGGGGAAGGTCATGTTTTTTACCTGTACCCCGGGAAAAATATCAGGGCCCTCATTCAGACTAAATTGTAAGTAGTAGTTATTCTTTCCAAGGGTGTATCTGTTTTAAGTAATGATGTATGTAAAAATGCTTAGCCATAGAACTCACCTCAGGTGTTCTTTATTTTGAATTATGTTACCCATATTCTGTAAATGTCAACTTTTTTTTTCATTTTATTTATTTTTGTAAGACAGAGCGAGAGAGGCAGAGCATGAGCAGGGGAGGGGCAGAGAGAGGAGACACAGAATCCGAAGCAGGCTCCAGGCTCACACTGTCAGCACAGAGCCCGATGCAGGGCTCAAACCCATGAAACGTTAGATCATGACTTATGCCAAAGTTGAACACTTAACCAATGGAGCCACCCAGGTGCCCCTGTCCAGCTTTTTCTTAGTAAAATAGCATAAACATCTTTTAACCATTATGATTTGGTCTTTTAACCAATACAATGAGTTAGCCATTATGATTTCACCAGAGCATTTTTCACATGGAATGGACTAGGTGCTTCAAGAATTATAGGTCATAGTCAGGATGATAAATTCTGGCTGTTTATTTGATTAGTTCTTGACAGCAGTTCCACTTAGGAAGAAGTACACAGTGGAAAAAAATCACTAACACGTAGATGGAAGCTTTGTGATAAGTCAGAAAAGAAAAACATTAATACAAAATTAGCTTAAATAATTTGTTAATCGTCCCCATAGCTACAACTATACTAAGTCATTTTTCGGAAACTTTGTGGGACAACCAGGTACTATCTTTTTGATAGATTTGTTGAATTATAGAAATGGAATCACAGAGAATCAAAATATATGCGTACTTATACAAAGATTAGATATATTGGCTAGGTACACGAAGGGTTGAAAACCAGATTCAAACCTGTATTTATAGATCTTGTCACCACAAGAAAAAAGAAAAGTGAAGTACCTAAATCCAGAAGTAAACTGTGTTATATAAAGAGGTTCTTCTATATCCAAACCAAGTTGTATGTCAAATTCTACGGTATTTTAGCTGCTGCCAACACACTGGCCAGATAAAGGGAAGTTTAAAGATTTTTTAAGTGTTCCTCTTTATCAGAAAAATCATAGTCTTGATCTAAATAAATAGTGTATGTTAAAAATTAAAGTCAAATTTAATTAAGGCTTACTGTTCGCTTAAACTGCATATGCTTTGGTAATTCTTTATTCATTTCCAGAAGTTGCTGAAATTCATTCCTCAAAGCTTTGAGTTTTTCTCTCTTCCCAGCTTTTATTTCTTCCACTTCTTTCATTAGCTTATCATGTTCTCTTTTTCTTCTAGCATTCTCAATACTGAAAACAGAAATTTAAAAGGATAGTAAGATCCAGAAACAGCATAAGAGGAATCAGGACTCAATAATTTGGAAATTCCATTGGCTTGGTCAACTTCTATAAAATGTTGTTTTGCAACAGCTCAAGGCTAGTATTTATCAAAAATTCTCATACCTATAGGCTTTGGGATCTTCAATATCTTCTGGAATTGGCTCTGCTTCAATTCCAAACTGTAGAAAGGGGAGAAACGGTTAACACTTTTAAATTGCATATTTCTCTTAAAATATCTAATAGGAAGTAAACTGAGCTTTTTCCCCCCCTCTGCCAATTTCTTTTTTTTTTTTTTTTAATTTTTTTTTTCAACGTTTATTTTATTTTTGGGACAGAGAGAGACAGAGCATGAACGGGGGAGGGGCAGAGAGAGAGGGAGACACAGAATCGGAAGCAGGCTCCAGGCTCTGAGCCATCAGCCCAGAGCCCGACGCGGGGCTCGAACCCACGGACCGCGAGATCGTGACCTGGCTGAAGTCGGACGCTTAACTGACTGCGCCACCCAGGCGCCCCCAATTTCTAATAATTATAGGCTTGCAACGTATTTTCACAAGAAATAATCCAGGGAAAACTAGGGGGAAATTTGTAGTTGACTACATTTATTTGTTTCTGCTTGATTTAAAGAGGTACATAGAAAAAGTCTTAAAACCTAATATGCATGCAAAATGTTAATATCACCATAATTCCCCTTCAAAATGTGAATTACTAATATCATGTGTTATTAACAAAGGATACATGCAAAATTTCCTAGGTCATTTATTTTAAAATGCTATTTTTTTAGCATATCCCCTTTTATATATGCTTAATTCTCCCCCCAATACCTTATGTGTATACAGGAAGGTTTTAAAATATATTTTTTAGGGGCAATAGGGTGGCTCAGTTGGTTAAGTATCTGACTTTTAATTTGGGTTTTTTTTTTTAATTTTTTTTTTAACGTTTATTCATTTTTGAGACAGAGAGAGACAGAGCATGAACGGGGGAGGGTCAGAGAGAGGGAGACACAGAATCTGAAACAGGCTCCAGGTTCTGAGCTGTCAGCACAGAGCCCAACACGGGGCTCGAATCCATGAACCACAAGATCATGATCTGGGCCAAAATCAGACGCTCAACCGACTGAGCCACTGAGGTGCCCCAAGACTTTTCAGTTTTTAAAGAATGAGTAATTTAACATTACTATTTTAAAATATTTTTTATCGTTGTTATTAGTTGCATACCCTTGGAGATGGCACTTTGGCTTTAATGGCTTTCATTAGTTCAAATTCAGAAAAAATGGTGAAAACAAAGATATTACTATCTGCTCCAGCGGTCACCAAGAAACGGTCATCAAAACTAGTAGATATGCCTTTGACACATCCATAATTATTGTCATGCAGATTGAAATGCCAGTAGTCCACCATATTTGTCAATGAAGGATTATTCTGACTTAGGATATAGACTCGAATTGCTCCATTTTGCATTCCACAGAACATGAGATCTTGGTTAATGCTATGAAACATAAATTGTTCATATTAATTAGATATATAATTTTATACCTTTTTTTAACATTTATTTATTTTTGAGAAAGAGCATGAGCAGGGGAGGGGCAGAAAGAGAAGGAGACACAGAATCTGAAGCAGGCTTCAGGTGCTGTGCTGTCAGCACAGAACCCAACGCAGGGCTCAAACTCATGGACCCGAAAACACGACCTGAGCAGAAGTTGGTCGCTCAACCAACTGAGCCACCCAGGCACCCCAGATATATAATTTTAAATTAATGACACATGACTGAATTTTAATAACAAAGATGTTATGGACTTCATTGTGCACCCCCACTGTACATATTTTTAAGCCCTAACAAACTACTGCAAAAGAACAGAGGGGAAAAAGCCAATTTGAAATTTAGAGCTATTATATTTGATCTTCAAAAGAATGACTAGCATATATGCTTAATTCTCAATTATTAAAGGACTAAGGATTCAAGTTGTGATTTCTGTAGGATCACTGTAACACTGAACCTTCCTTATCTGACCATGCAGGAGAATCCTAAGTAACAGAAAGTAAGTCCATACAAACCTATTGTGTGATAAACAGAAATTCTGACAGAATATTTGACAGAGGGACTTGAAATAGTGTTTCATGACTAGCTTTGATTCTATTTATTCATTCAGTTTATTTAACTATAAAATGTTTGGGGCACTTGGGTGGCTTAGTCGGGTAAGCGTCCAACTTCAACTCAGGTCATGATCTCATGGTACATGAGTTCAAGCCCCACATCAGGCTCTGTGCTGACAGCTCAGAGCTTGGAACCTGCTTCAGATTCTTTGTCTCCCTCTCTTTCTCCTCCCTCTCTCTCTTTCTCTCTCTCTCAAAAATAAATAAGCACTAAATTTTTTTTAAAAAGAAAATATTTGAGTGCCCCTCCATTCGGACACATCTTTAAAAATGAACAATATTCATAATGGACAACAACAGAGACACAAATGAGTTTTTTTTTAAGCTTTCTGAAATTTTGTTCACCTGAAAGTGATAGTATGGATGGGATTATCCTCTGTATCTTCAAGAAAACGAAAATCAAAAGGTTCATCCTTCTTTTCTGTGCCATTGATACTTTTCTCATATGGGGGGAACTCACAGTGATATAGAAAACCAGAATCATAGCCACCCTGGAAAAGAGATAAATAACATTGAAGGTAGTACTTGAATATAAGATACATATGACCACACAAGGATTTTTTTTATTCTTCAAATTTTAAAACCAAAAATAGATGTCTTAACACATCTATTTTTATATGACTTCTATTATTATAGATAGGTCTTATAAAGTAACTCATTGTCCATTTATATGGAACTATATGATTATGCAATAATAAAACACCTTACAATAATTTGCTTCCATTTAAAAGTCAATACAAGGAAGATATCACTTCTGACTACCTACTGAGTTCCATTTTATTTCAAGTATTATTCTGCACATGCAGTATTTAATACAGTTTTGTAGGTCATGCTGCTCAGAGCTAGTTTTGAGTCTAGGGCATTGCTCTTCTCCCTGAAGCAATTACCAGCTCTGAAAGTGCCATCTGAGAGGCTTTGAAATTCAGCAATCTGTTGTCTCCCGGGCTTAGGGAGAGGGAAAGAATTCCCAAGGTCATCCAAGGAGAAGGAGCCACTGTAAACACACCTTCCACGGGGCTTTCCATTGCAACCCTAGAACACTACACCCTACAAGTATGAGTCATCTCAGTCACTGACTATATGAACATGATCTAGGATTTCTAGCTGCTTTCCAGAACAAAAATAAACTCCCAGGAGACAATGGCAATATACAGATTCTCAAGCTAATGCTACAGTTTTTCATATAAAAGGTCATTTTTTCAATTAAAAAGAACACCCTATGCATACTTGCTAAGACAAGACTTGATTGAAAATCAAAAGAATAGATCAAAGAAAAAATCATGAGAGGTGTTTATAAAATGGATTTCAAGTAACCAAGATTAATATATTTAAGGAATTTGAAGGCACTATGAAAAAGGTAAGAAGTCACCTGGAATCTGTAAAGAAAGTGAATAATGGAAAAAATAAAATTGTAGGACTGAAAAATAAAATGACAAAAATTCAATAGATTAGTTTGAAAGCAACCAGACACAGCTAGAATTATGAATCTGGAAGAGAGATCAGATAAATCAGTCAGACCAAAGCAGGAGAAAGAAAAGAAGGATGACAAATACCAAAAGCAAGGGCAGCGTGTGTGTAAAATATCTATGGGTCATAGTGATAAGGGTTAATGTACATAGAACTGGAATCCCAGAAGAAACAAGGACAAAGATGGGCCAGAAGCAATATTGTGGTACACAATGGCTGAAAATTTTCAAAAACTGAGTGAAACTACATTGGGATTCAAGAAATACTATGAACACAAGCAAGAGAAATATGAAGAAATTATACCTTTTAACACAAAATCTTAAAAGCAACCAAGGAAAAAGACACATCAGGTTTCGAAGAAACAACAATAAAAAGATGCAGCTGGCAGAATGGAGGACAAAAGATTAAAAGACATCAAAGTTTGCAAAGAAAATATCCAGCAAAAATATGATTTTTTTTAAAAAGACAAAATGAAGATACCTCAAGACCCCCCAAAAAGCTCCCAAAACTGAGAGAATATATTACCAGCAGACCTACACTAAATACACATACATTTTTAGGCAGAATCTTCTGCAACTACAAAGATATAGAAAGGAATTAAGAGTAAGAAAAAGGAAAAACCAAAATGATATCAACAACAACAAAAATAGTAAAATACCTTTTAGGAATACAAATATATATATATGTTAAGAAAATATATGGCAATGGAGAGGGGGAGGATACATGGCATTAAAGTACTCTATGATCTTTTTCTCTGTAATTAGAAGAGTAAATTTATGTCAAACTATATGAAGTTCAAGGTACATAATATAATCTTTAGGATCACCTCTAAAAGAGGGAGTGGAAAGGAAGGAAAAATTTCAAGTTAGGTGGTAGAGCATGTTTATGTGCTGATAAGAACTGAGTAAACAGAGGGAAGTGGATAATACAGGAGACTAGGTGATTTATTGTAGAACAAGATACTGGAGGATGTGAGAGGGGTGGGATCAAAGGGGCTTTGGGGAAAGTGTCCTTGGACAATTGCAGGAGACTATTCATCAACTCTAAGAGTGGACAAAAGCAGACAAGACTCGTATGGATCCCCATAGAATGTTAGATTTAGATTTGTTTGAGACAAGACAAGGAAATTTTTTTTCCTCATATTTGTTAAATCACACTTTTTGCATGTTTCCAGGACACTAGAACTCTACTACACTGTATTACAGTTCTTTCTATGCCTCTCTCCCTTGTGATACGAAGAAATTTCCTGAAGTCAGGAACCATGTCTTATTTATCCCTTACCCTAGAACCCCACACAATTATAGCCATCAACAACTGTTTCATAAAACAAAGACAAAGTATAAAGGCACTAATAAGTGGAGTCCTAGGTGCCTCCATCACTACTTTCTATTCTTCTTGCTGCTTGTCTCCTTAGAAGTTTCTAACAAAGATGCATTTCTAGGAAAAGTTGAACAGGGGAGAAGTTAATGCTCGTTACTTCTTGTAGCAACAATCCTTGGCTAGTCAGCATCCTGGGGCACTGGGATCTGGGACAAACTATGAATTAGTGATAGTCTTTCACATATGGGATGTTGTGGGTTCAATCCCAGAATACTTTAATGAAATTAATATTGCAATAAAGTGAGTCAAATGATTTTTTTTGTTTCCTGGTACATATAAAAATTATGTTTACACTATAGCATAGACTATTAAGTGTGTAATAGCATTATGTCTAACAGTGTACATACCTTAAATTTAAAAATACTTTATTGCCCAAAATTTCCAACCATAATCTGAGCTTTTGGAAAATCTTAATCTTTTTGCTGGGGGGGGGGGGTCCTGCCTTGATGTTGATGGCTGCTGACTGATCAAGGTGGTGGCTGCTGAAGGATTCCATCTCACTTTCTTTGCTCATCCATAAAAAGCAACTGCTCATTTGTTAAAGTTGTATCATGAGATAGTAGACATTCAGTCACATCTTTAGGCTCTACTCAGTTCTAGTTCTCTTGCTGCTTCCACCACATCTTCAGTTACTTCCTCCACTCAAGTCTTGAACCCTCAAAGTCACCCATAAGGGTTGGAATCAACTTCTTCCAAGAAATCCTGCTAATGTCGATATTTTGACCTATTCCCATGAATCTAGAATGGTAAATCCTTTCCAGAAGGCTTTCAATTGGCTTTGCCCAGATCCATTAGAGGAATCACTCTCTATGGCAGTTATAGCCTTACAAAATGTATTTCTTAAATAATAAGACTTGAAAGTCTACTTTACTCTTTGATCCACAGGCTACAAAATGGATGTTGTGCTAGGAGGCATAAAAACAACATTAATCTCATCATAGGTCTCCAGGAATCATGGGTAACCAGCTATGTTGTCAATGAACAATAATATTTTAAAAGGAATCTTCTTTTTTTCTGAACAGGTCTCCCAGCTTTGTTGTTCCATTTATAGTGCACAGGCAGTAGGGATTTAGCACAATTCTTAAGGGCCCTAGGATATTCGGAATGGTAAATGAGCACTGGATTCAAATTTAAGTCACCAGCTGCATTAGCCCCTAACAAAAGGGTCAACCTATTCTTTGACGCCAGGAATTGACAGATCCTTTATGAAAGTCCTAGATGACATCATCCAGTAGGAGGTTGTTTCATCTACATTGAAAATCTATTGTGGTGCACCTAGGTGGCTGACTGAGCATCTGACTTTGGCTCCGGTCATCTCATGGTTCATGAATTTGAGCCCTATGTCTGGCTCTGTGTGGACAGCTCGGAGCCTGGAGCCTAGTTCAGATTCTGTGTCTCCCTCTCTATCTGCCCCTCCCCCATTCGCACTCTGTCTCTCTCTCAAAAATAAATAAACATTAAAAAAAATTTTTTAAGAAAATCTGTTGTTTAGTGTAGCCACCTTCATGACTGATCTTTTTTTTTAATGTTTATTGATTTTTGACACAGAGAGAGAGAGAGAGAGAGAGAGAGAGAGAGCATGAGCGGGGGAGGGGCAGAGAGAGAGGGAGACCACAGATTCTGAGGCAGGCTCCAGGCTCTGAGCTGTCAGCACAGAGCCCGACGCAGGGCTCGAACTCACAGACCGCGAGATCATGACCAGAGCCAAAGTCAGACGCTCAACCGACAACCACCCAGGCACCCCATGACTAATCTTAGCTAGATCCTCTGGATAACTTGCTGTAGCTTCTCCATCAGCACCTGCTGCTGTACCTCACACTTCTCTATTATGGAGATGGCTTCTTTCCTTCTTTGCTTAAACTTCATGGACCAATCCCTGCTAACTTCAAACTTTTCTTCTGAAGCTTCCTCACCTCTCCCAGAATTGGAGAGAGTTAGGGCATTGCTCTGCATTAGGCTTTGGCTGAAGAGAATGTTGTGGCTGGTTTTATCTTCCATCCAGGCCACTGAAATTTTCTCCATATCAGCAATAAGGCTATTTTGCTTTCTCGGTATTTGTGTGTTTACTGGAATAGCACTTTTAATTTCTTTCAAGAACTTCTCCTTTGGAGGGCATCTGTCTGGTTAGGAGATAGAGCATGTGACTATTGATCTCAGGGTAATGAGTTCAAACCCCATGTTGGGCATGGAGCCTACTAAAAAAAACCTTTTCCTTTGCATTAACATCTTGGCCTACTATTTGGCACAAGAGACCTAGCTTTTGGCCTGCCTTGGCTTTTGACATGCGTTCCTCACTAAGCTTAATCATTTCTTGTTTCTGATTTAAAGTGAGAAACGTGTGACTCTTCCTTTCAAGTGAACAATTAGAAGCTATTGTAGGGTTATTAACTGGCCTAATTTAAATATTCTTGTATCTCAGGGAAGGCCCAAGGAGAGGGAGAGAGATGGGGGAATGACTAGTTAGTGGAGCAGTGAAAACACACACAATATTTATCGTTAGGTTTGCTGTCTTAAATGGGTGTGGTTCATGGCTCCCCAAAACAATTAAAATAGTAACAAAGATCAATGATCACAGATCACCATAACAATAATAATAAGTTTGGAATATCACAAGAATTACTAAAATGTGACACACAGACATGAAGTGAGCCAATGTTGTAGAAATAATGATGCTGATTAGCTTGCTCAACACAGGATGGCCACAAACCTTCAATTTGTGACAATCACAGTATGTGTGAAGTATAATAAAATCATGTCAATTATTAGTTTTTTTGTTAATGGAGCTGAAGTTTGTGACAAATTTATAACGAAGGAAATCTTGTTTTGCAATCAATTGTTTCATGATAGTAGAAAATATATAATTAGAGAATGTAATTATCACAACTTTGTGACAGTCCTCTTTGACTCTCTGATATCTATTTTTCTCTTCTTCCATATTAGCCAAGTTCCAATTTTGTTCAGGGTGATGATGTGACCATCTAAAAATAGTCATCTTCCCAGACTTCCACGTGGCCACACAGCATAGCTGCAGATAACAAAATGCAAACGAAAGTCTGCAGGATAGTGTGGCCATTATTTTCAAAATGTCAATTAGTTTCAAATTAAAGAAACAATAGAAACAGCCAGAAGACTCTTTAGCCCTTTGCCTTTCCTTCTACCTTTAATTCTTTTTCTCTTTGATCCCCTGAAATATGAATGATCATTATAGATGATAGCAGATATTATAAGCAGACATAAAAGATATTAAGATGACACAAAAACTGTAAGTCACATTCATTCATCAAAATTCACAACTTATTCAATAGTATTTAACAAATGGTCTCACCATAAGAGAAAGTAAGAATGGGCTGGAAATTCATGATCAGAAACAATTTAATCAAAATTATGTATTACATTATTACTCACCAAAGAAACCCAGAACTTCCCTGGCTCAGAGTAAAATCCACAGAGTATGCGACAGGGGGTTGATGGAATAAAGATTTCGGGTAATGGCTCCTCTTCCTCTCTTTCCTCCTCCTCCTCCACCTGGAATTCCTTTTCTCCATCTTCTTTCATCTCTGCTGCTAGCTGCTTCCTCCTTTCTTCCTTCTCCTTCTCCTTCAACTCCTTTTGTTTCTTTCTCTTTTCTATTTCTATTAATCTCTTTCACAAGAGACATTAAGAAGATAAAAAACTGTAAAGCATTCATTCATTTACAGTAATGGGATGACAAAGAAAGTGGAAGGAAAAACTCACAGCTCTGATGTAACAAATAGTGTCATTTAAAAATAAATCAATTTGGGGGTATATCTTTAAACTTTTCAAATCATTTCTGTATTACCTGCTTCGATCCTAGTTTTATAGAAATTATTTTCTCTTTTTTTTCCTAATAGAGAAGCTAAATACATTTTCTTTCAGAGTCCATCACCATCAACCCATGAACTAGGTAGACCAAAATAACCATGGAGGAAAGGTGTTTCTATTTTAGTAGATACTAAAATAGTAATAGAAAACTGTGAGTTAGGCCTTCCACATCTATCAAATGGTGATTTCAAAAGTCACCTAACACTAGCATCCCTACCTCCCATCTTTTATTCTTTTTATCCCTCAGAATTACTTCCTAATTTATATGATCTCATCACATCAATCCTCCTCAAAATCTCACAATGGGAGGAGTCACTGAAAAGCTTCTGCAAAACAAAAGAGGTGGAGACACAGTAATGAAGGGAACCTCCAATCCCAAATGCCATGCACTGCAGTGGGAAGGGATACTACTGAGACATCCTGAGCAGAATCATCTGCCCTGGAACACAGGGGGAAAAAGCCAAGGTTTAAAAGAACAACTAGTATGTGAAAGAACCAGCCCTAAAACCCTCCCAAACTAAAGGGAGCTGCTGGAACTCTCTCTGGGTTAGAAGGGCTGACAAGCACCCCAGTTTATGCTCCCCCTCCACCATGACAGTGTCAATGGGATGAGAGGGTCTGGGCACCCTAACCAGCCTACCACGTCAGTGAACCTCAGACACCTGGCCCCAGCAATCCCACCAAGGAGGCTCTAGGGCGGTATATACCAGGACACCTCTCGATAGCACTCAGTACAGCACCAAGGTGACACAGGTGCGAAGCATCCCTGAACACTCCAGGTCCATACCCACTTTGGCTTCAGCTTGCTAGGCACCATCAACACAGAGTACCCTAGGACTTCCTGGCTGAAGTCTGTTTGGCCCAGCTGTCCCACCAGGGTGCCCCCTGTACAGAGCATCCCAGGACACATTGGACTCCACCAGCCTTGGTTTCCATTGCCCCACAAGGGCACCCCCTTTGCTGCACACTGAGGGACCCTCCAGTTTATACCTACTTCACCTTCAGTTGTCCTGCCAGGGCATCCTCAGGATGGAACGCTCCTAAATACCCTGGCTTGCACACATTTCCACTTCAGCCGTCCTGCCAAGGTGCCTTCTGTATGGAAGGTCCAGCCCCCCACTCACCCCCCCCCCCCTTAGCTTGCATCCACTTCAGTTTTAGCTGACCTGCCAGGGCATCCCTGAAAAGAATGCCCTTGGACACACTGGCTTGTGCTGGCCTGGGCTTATCACCCCATCAGGGCACCCCCTGCAATGGGCACTGCAGGACGCTCCAGCTTGTACCAACTTCAGCTGTCCTGCCAGGGCACCTCTGCACATAAGGGCCCAGGATCCTTCAAACTTGCACCCACTTCAGCTTTAGTTGTCCTGTCAGGGTGTCTACTATATGGAGACCCCTAGGACCTCCCACTTGCACTCACTTCAGCTATGGTCATCTCACCAGGTCAGTCACAGCATGGAATGCCCTGCAACCCCCAGCCTACACCAACCACAGCTCCTGCCAGCCAGCAGAAGTCGCCAAGCATACACAGGGGATGACCAGACACAAGACCATTTCTTCAAATTCAGAAGTAGCTGTTCTGCTAATTCATCAAAATAAACATGGAAGTCAATAACAACAGGGAAACAGGAGTATGTTCCAAAAGAAAGAAAAAGACAAAACCTCAGAATAAGTACTAAGTAAAAAGGAAATAAGCAATATGCCTAATAAAGAGTTTAAAGCAATGATCATAAAGATGCTTACTAGGCTGGAGAAAAGAGTGAAAGAACTCAGTGAAGCCTTCAACAAAGAGATGGAAAATATAAAAAAGAACCAGAGATGAAGAACACAATAACCTAAGTACAAACAAACAAATAAACAACAACAAAGAACACTAGAGGGAATCAAAAGATTAGAAGGTGTAGAAGAATGTATCAGTGATCTGGAAGAGAGGGTAATGGAAAGCACCCAAGCTGAACAACAAGGGGGAAAAAAAAAGCAGGATAAGTTAAGAGATCTTTTAGACAACATCAAGCAAACAAATATTTGCATTATGGGGGTCCCAGAAGGAAAAAGAGAGAATGGGGCAGAAAACTCAGTTGAAGGCATACTAGTAAAAACTTCACTTATCTGGTAAAAGATATAAACATCTAGGTTTAGGAAGCACGAAGCATTCAAAATAAGATGAAACCAAGAATGTCCACACCATGACATAATAATTAAAATGTCAAAAGTTAAAGATAGAAAAAGAATTTTAAAAATAGCGAGAGAGAAGTATAAAAGGAAAGCACATAGGCTATTGGTTGGATTTTCAGCAAAACTTTGCAGGCCAGAAGGGAGTAGCACTACATATTCAAAGTCTTGAAAGGAAAAAACTACAACCAAGAATACTCTACCTGGCAAGGTTATCATTCAGAATAAAAGGAAAGAGTTTCCCAGACAAAAATTAAAGGAGTTTATCATCACTAAATTGGCCTTACAAAAATGCAAAAGGACTTCTTTAAGTATAAAAGAAAAGCCCATAATTAGAAGAAAATTATGAATAAAAATATGTAAAATATGGTAACCTAAACATAAAATGTGGAGAGAGGGGTATAAAAAATAACTTTTTTAGAATGTGTTTGAACTTAAATGACCATCAACTTAATATACACTGCTATATACTTAGGAAGCAATATACAAACCTCATGGTAACTACAAACCTATCCTAAAACAAAACCTATAATAGATACACACAAAAAAAGGGGGGGGGGGAATAATGACACTACAGAAAGTCAATCACAAAAAAAGAGAGTAAGAAAAGAACTAAGAACGCCAAAAAAAAAAAAAAAAAAAAAAAAAAAAAAAAAAAAAAAAAAAAAAAACAACCAGAAAACGATTAACAAAATGACAATAAGTACATACATATCGATAATTACTTAAATGTAAATGGTCTAAATCCTCCAATAAAAAGGTAGAGGGTGACAAATCAGAAAAAAAGAAAGACTCATCTACATGCTGCCTACAAAAGATTCACTTCAGGCCTAAAGACACAGACTGAGATCGAAAGAATTGAAAAATATATTCCACTACAAATGGAAGCAGCAAAAAAAGCTGGGGCAGGAATACTCATAACAAATAAAACAGACTGTAAACTCTAAAATAAAAACTATAATAACAGACAAAGAAGAGCATTATATAATGATAAAGGGATCAATCCAACAAGTAAATATCTATGTACCCAACATTGGAGTACCTAAATAAACAAAGGAAATATTAATAGATATAAAGGGAGGAACTGACAGTAACACAATAGTAAGGGACTTTAACACTTAATTTACATCAATGAATAGGTCATTCAGGCAGAAAAATCAATGAGGAAATAGTGTCTTTGAATGACATATAAGACCAGATAGACTTAATATATACAGAACATTCCATCCCAAAACAACAGAGTACACATTCTCTTTAAGTGCATGTGGAACATTCTCATTCTCATTAGGCCACAAAATAAGTCTCAATCAATTTAAGAAGACTGATATCATATCATTCATCTTTTACAATCACAACACTATGAAACTAGGACTCACAATCAAAAGAAAAAACCACAAACATGTGGAGGCTAAACATACAACCAGTGAGTCAATGAAGAAATCAAAGAATAAATGAAAAAAAAAAAAGACATGGAGACAAATGAAAATGAAAACACAAACTGTCCAAAATCTTTGGGAATCATTGAAAGCAGTTCTAAGAGGGAAATTTATAGCAGCACAGGCCTATCTCAAGAAACAAGAAAAAGTTCAAATAAACTAACTTTACGCATGAAAGAACTAGAAAAAGGACAAAGTCCTAGGTAAATAGAATAGCTAGTAATAAAAAAAAGCCCTTGTGAGCAGAACTTAAATGGCACACATAGACTTAAAAAAAAAAAAAAAAAAAAACAGACCAATGAAAGAGAAGACCAATGAAATCAAGATCTGGTTCTTTCAAGAGACAAACAAAATCAATAAACCTTTAGTCAGACTCATCAGTAATAAAAGAGAAAAGACCCAAATAAATAAAATAAAAAACAAAAGGAAAATGTAACAACCAGCATCATAAAAATACAAGAATTATGAAAGAATACTGTGAAAAATTATATACCAAAAAATTGGACAACCTAGAAGAAATGGGTAAATTCCTAGAAACATACAGTCTTCCAAAACTGAATAAGGAAGAAAGGGAAAATCTGAAGAGACCAATTACTAGTAATAAAATTGAATCAGTAATCAAAAATCTACCAAAAAGCAAAGCCTGTGACCAGATGGATTCATAGGTAAACTCTACCAAACATTTAGAGAAGAGTCAATACCTCTCCCCCTCAAACTATTTACAGAAAAATAAAACAGGGAAAGATTCCAAGTATATTCTGAGAGGCCAGCATTACCCTGATACCAAAACCAGATGAAGATCATTTTAAAAAGAAGAAGAAAACTACAGGGAAATATCCCTGATAAACATAGATGCAAAAGTCCTCAACAAGATATTAGCAAACCACATTCAACAGTATATTAAAGGGATCATTCACCACAATCAAGTAGGATTCATCCTCAAGATGCAAGAATGGGGTAGGAGGACGCTGGGTTCACCCCACCCTGCTGATCGCTTAGATTCCACCCACATCAGCCTAATTTACCCAGAAAACCGCCAGAAGACTAGCAGAACGGACTCTCCGCAGCCAAGCGTAGATGAGAGGCCCACAGAAGAGGGTAGGAAGGGCGGAGAGGCAGTGCATGCTACATGGACTTGCAGGAGGGAACCGGGGCAGTGGAGGGGCAGCCAGCCCACCCGGCAAGGCAGAG